GGAACCAGCTCTGGAGCCAGAGCGAGACCCTGGGTTTGAGACATTGTAAGGGCTGCTTATCCCCTTGCTGGATATGGAGGATGCTTGCAACATCTTCATACCATTGCTTTCTTCCACCATGCTGCTATCCATGGCTTCTTTGTACGAGATCTTTAGTTTGGTCTTGGGACAGGTCAAGTTTTTCTTATGGTTTTGCGTATCCTGCAGCTTCTGCGCACCTTGCCCATCAAGCCATCCTTTTCGGATAGCCTCTTGAATAGTGACGCGTCGTCCATTGCTAGGCTCTATTAGGCCTCCTGTAAGGTACTGAAACTCCAGAAACCTCTGGCCAGCCTCATATGGTAGCCATGTCTCCTTTACTGCCTCAGCTGCAGAAAGCTTCCTTTTTGTTTTCAAATCTTCAAAACCATTGTAAGCTTTCTGAGCAGGCTTCAGCTTAGTAGCCATGCTTTCATCAATAACGCTCTGATGGACAGCATCTTCAAGCGACAGTCGATCACCAGTAGCAGGGTTGATAATGCCACCTGTGCAAGCCTGGGCCTCCAGCAACCTTTGAGCTGTAATAGTGTCAATTATGCCTCTTCTGAGCCCCTCAGAAACAGTTATTTTTTCCAAGGTCTCTGTGTCAAATATGGCTGCCACAGGGCTCTGATCATCAAACATTCCTGGGGGGGAGACTGTAATAGAGATACTGTTGAAGCGTTTACGAACAGTAGGAGAAGATGGTCTGGCTTGATTGGGGCTGCTGCAGGTGACCATGTCATCAACATTACTAGCTGCAATGGTCATCTCGCTACAACTAGTTCTGCTGGTTATTTGGTCAGCAAGCTCTGTCAAGGTTAATGTTCCAGCACGGTACTTATCAAGAGACTTTTGATCAATAATTCTTTTGTCCAGGCAGTCTTGAATATCATACTGGGTTCCAGTTTTTCTATCCACAATCACTAAACGTGAAGAACCATCTGACCCCTTGATAGTGATTTCTTCCCACTCACACTCCTGCTCTGACAAGTCCAGGAAAGTTTCATAGTCAATTAGCTGTTTGTGATAAGCCTCCCTAACTGACATCTCAAGTCCTGTGTCTGGGTCAACAATTACAACACGCCTTTTGCGGAGGACATTGGTACGGCTCTCCTGTGACTTTTGGGCCTTATTCTTGTCTTTGAGTGGCAGGAGTATTAGTCCTGTTTTAGAATCTGTAATACATCTTTCCTTCAGCTGCAGATAAGTCAAATTCTCTTTTGTATTAGGATCAAAGAACCCTTTAGTGTCATCTCCTTCATAGCTTAAGATCTCATTCATTTCCTCATCAAAATATCCTCTTTTATAGGCAACAGAAACATCAATACGGTGGCTCTCAAGTGGGTCAATGATTCCACCACTGGCAATCTGAGCCTCAAGCAACCAGATTCCATGGCCTTTCTCAATGAGCTCTTTCTCAATAGCCTGGAAGAGGGAGATGATCTTCCCTGTAGATGGGTCTTTATAGCCAATTACTGCCTTTTCTGCAGACAGCAACTTATTCTTAAACTCCTTTCCCACAAGACCTCTTTTTGTGGCTTCTTCAACTGTCAAGAAAACATTGTTAACTGGATCAACAATGAAACCAGATGAAGCTTGAGCCTCAAGAAGCTCCAGGGTTGTTCCTCTCATCAGCAGACCTTCCTGCATTGCTTGGTAGAAAGGCATTATTCTGTCATTGGCCTCATCATAGAGTCCTGCAATACAAGTTGAGCAAAAGAGATAAGGCTTTAGCTTGTCTTCAATGTCTCTGCATGAGATTTTCCCTTCTTCAAGCTTTTTCAGGTCAGTTTCATCTAGCAGTTCAGACTGAACAAGTTTTGAAACATTAACCTCATTCCGAATACCTTTCACTGTCATGGGATTTTCCAGACCATGGAGCAGAAGCAAACCAGACACAGGCTCAACTGTACACTTCCTTCTAAGATCAGAGTAAGTCATCTTCTCTCCTGTTGTTGGATCTAGGTAGCAGGTTGTTTTTTTATTCAATGCTCTGTAAAGATCCTCATCTATAACATTGCAGTCCAAGGCCAGATCTTTTGGAAGGAACACACTCAGAACTGGGTCCAATATGCCTCCAACAGATTCCTGAGCCTGAAGCAAGCGAATGGCTGTTTCTTTGTTTACATGGCCATGTTTGTAGGCCTGTCCCACAGACAACACCTTGCCTGTGTATGGTTCTTTGAAACCTATGCTAGCTGCTTCAGCTGTCAACAAGACATCTCTATCTTCTGTGTCCACAATCCCTCTGGAACAGGCTGTATCTACAGGCATCCTGTCATTGAATGCAGGGTCCATTATGTAGCCTGTTGCTGCTTGAGCTTCCAGGAGCAGAATTGCACTCTCTGGGCTGAGGAGATTTTTGTGTTTGGCTTCAGTGAATGGCATTATCCCTTGAGAAGATGTAATTCCAGCAATAATGCCAGTACCCTTCAGGCTAACTTGGATATCCACTGCTACTTCATCCACAGTCTTTTTTCCTTTGAGGAGATCATCAAGAGTAGTTTTACTGATTATGCCACAATCACAAAGCTGGTGAGCTGTGACCTTGTGGCGAACTCCATCAAATACAAGTTTTGATGGATCAATTGTTGAGACCTTCTCATCAGTCTGGGTCTGCCTGCACAAGGTAGAAGGTCTCCGCTTCAGTCTCTGCATTTCTTTCTCCAGTGAGTCTCTCTTCATAGCCAATTCAGATACCTCCTGTTCTGAGCTTAAGAGACGGCTCTTGTACCTCTCCTCAATACTTTTCAGCTCCTTTATCAACCTCTCAATCTCATTCTTCAAGGACAGTTTCTCTTGATCAGCCTGGTTTCTGTCTGATTCACACTGTCTAATTTGAGCTTCTTTAAGCTCATAATGACTCTTCATAGAATTGATATCTTGAGCTAGTGCATTTTTTTCATCCCAAAGTCTCTGTTTGCTGCGAGTCTCAGTTTCTAGACTGAGCTCGATGCGAGCCAGCTCCTCTTCTAATCGCTGTAGATGGTTCTTGTCCTGCTCCATCAGTTTCAGCTTGGATTGCAAACTATCTCTCTGAAGCAGCAGGTCATTGTATTGACTTTTGGACTCATGTAACATCATTGAGGTCTGTGGAAAAATAAGAGAACAGAGCATTGAAATATATAGAATACCTTGATGTGCATAGAATATTTACACATGAAAATGGAGTCCTGCATTTGTTTTTACATTTCTGTTCACATTTTTTCACGTTGGTATGAAGCATTCATTGATGTGATTGTTAGCAAGGGATGAGAAATTGTTGTTTACACATTACAATTTAAACATGAAGATAGTGTAGTTATTTGTCCAACCTTTTTTGTATATATATTCCTTCATGTTAGTGTGCAACATTCATTGATTTGAGCTAGTGCATTATTTTTTGCTGTGCTATTGAATTAATTGTTTTGTTCCTGACTTTTGTGGCTTTCGTGTGCTTCATCACACAACAAGCTTTTTCTGGACTTGTCTTTAAGTGCATGAGAGGAATTAGATTGAGGCATCACAACTCAGATTGCTTGATCTGCGAGTGAGGTACTGTGGCAGTCGTCGCTGCCCCCACCCCTCCAGTCCCTGAATTGAATTGGATTAAATTTTTCATCATCCCCCCACCCCCTCTTCTACAATGGTGACGGGCAGATTCTTCAGTGGCTTGTTGTTGATGATGATCATGTGGCTGCAGTACGGGCTTGTTTTTCTACCTCTTTGCACACCCGCTGTTGTCCAGCAGCTGAGCCGACATCCTGTGCAGCCGGGCCACTGTGCCGATCCACCTGAGCCACACGAACCAGGTCATAGTCAGGCTCAAGGTGAACCAATCCTACTGGCTAGTGAGGGTCCAATGCCCTTTGGTTCTGTGCTCCATGTGTCCCCTGATGTGCATGGTTCTGGAGCAGACCATCCATTCTGGACATTCTGGATGGTCAAACCATGTTGGTGCATCTGAACTTGTCCATCCATGCCAACTTCACTGCTACAGGGTTCTAAATAACCATGTCTTTATAAACCCATCTTATCATAACATATATCCAGTGTCTGGGGAATTTAAAGAATTTTGTTTGTCTTCAAACCTTAGTCATATCATTGATAGTCCCACTTGGCCTAATCCAAAGTGCCCCGCCAAATCATCTCTTCTAGATCTTGTCACAAACATGCCACATAAATAGACTGGGTTTGGTGTTTTTACAAATGATCTAAGCAATCACTGTGTAGTTGCTGCAGTTAGAGATACAACAATGCCTTGTTTCAAACCTGGAATGAATCTAAAATTGAATACGAAGCATTTTTTGTGAACAAGCCTTTCTTTGAGATCTGTTCCACTTTAACTGGCATCACATATTAATTGACAATGTGAACTATTGGAACAATTTTCATAATAGTTTAATTCATTTTTTTAAACAAACAAGCTCCATTTTGCCAGTTCAGAATTAAGGGCCGAGATAGCCCCTGGTTTACTTCTGAGTTAGCATACCTCTTGCTAAAGCTGTCATTTCTAACCAGGGCCCACGCCAGGCCCGGCCCAGCCCAAAATTTGAGCCCCAAAATAATGTGCTGGATGGGTGGGCCAGATTGGTGTTGGGCTTTTGATTGCATCAGCGGATGCGCGTGGCTGACTATCCAATTTGGATCACCAGCCACGTGCGGCTGTTTGACCGTGCGCTGACCAGCCGGTTGAAAGAGGTAAAAAAAAATGTTCAGATGGCTCACTGCCAGCGACCCACCTGAAGCTTAACTGGACACAGCCGCCGTGTCAGCGGACGTGAGCGGCCAAGCCTGGCTGGTTGAAAGAGGTTAAAAAAAAAAAAAAAAAAGTCCAGATGGCTCACTGCCAGCAACCCACCTGAAGCTTAAGTGGACTCAGCCGCTGCGTCAGTGGACA